ATGTCGTTAAGGCATAGTTTGTCACCTTACCTTTCTTGATTTTCTCCTCGTCTTCGGAGGAGCTTGACTCATCCCACTTTGTGTTCTTCTTCTTGCGTTCAAAGCAAGTAGTTATGTTTATTTTGTTCTTCAATTCTCGTTTTATTAATTTTTTAAATTTCTTAGTGAGTAGTTCTTGTTCACCATCACTTGAGCTTATGCTCGAGTGGTCTTCAAATGTTCTATGGCCCAAATCCTTCCTGTTCTTTGGAAGGTGATTTTGTTCATCATGTGTATTGTGCACCATTTCATATGTCATCAACGAACCAATTAGTTCTTCAAGTGGTAAGTTGTTTAGGTTTTTTGCTTCTTGTATTGCAGTTACTTTTGAATCCCACTTCTTAGAAAGAGAACGCAAAATCTTGTTTACTAGTTCAAAATCCGAAAAACATTTACCAAGAGCTCTTAAACCATTGACGACATTCGTGAAATGGGTGTACATGTCAACAATGGTTTCACTCGACTTCATTCGAAAAAGTTCATAAGAATGCACGAGAATGTTGATTTTAGACTCTTTCACTCGGCTAGTGCCTTCACGAGTGATCTCAAGAGTTCTCCAAATATCAAAAGCCGAATCACACATCGAAACGCGATTAAATTCATTTTTGTCAAGTGAACAAAACAAGGCATTCATAGCCTTTGCGTTTAAAGAAAAATACTTCTTCTCCAAATCCGACCATTCGTTCATCGGTTTAGAGGGAAGTTGAAAATCGTTTTCAACAATATTCCATAAGTCTAAATTTATAGAAATCAAGAAAACTCTCATTCGAGTTTTTCAATAAGTGTAGTCCAATCCGTTAAACAACGGTGGACGAAAAACCGATAAACTATCTTGGAAGCCATGAAGAGCCATTTCTCTCGGGTGTAAATCCGAAATGAGAAAAACTGGGCTCTGATACCAATTGTTAGGATCAAGAGCACTAAGAGGGGGGGGATGAATTAGTGCAGCGGAAAACCTTCTACGATTTAAAAACAAACTGCGTTCGTACGATGAAATCGTTTTCGACGTAAAACCGTTTTCGAAAACTTAACTTGAAAGCGAGTTCGTAAATGAGTGCAGCAAAAGTAATGATGAAGTAAAGCACATATGGAGGTTTGCAGTAAGGTAAGCAGCAAGAATAAATGCAAACCAGAGAAGACGAGAGTTTATAGTGGTTCGGTCAATCGTGACCTATATCCACTCCTCCGATTCCTCTTCTGTCAAGACCACCGGTATCCACTAATGATCTTCCTTTACTAGGCGAAGATCAACCTCCTTCTTACACCCCTCTTCTCCTTTTACCGGGTTTAGGAGACAACCCTTACAAGTACTCACTCTCCTCTCTTAAACAGAATTCGAACACTTAAGCTAGAGGAGGAAAATTCTAGAGATTGCAACAGCTTTTTCTTTCTTTTAATCTCTCTATGCTTGTGTTTTTTACCCAAGGATTGGAGGGGTATTTATAGGCTCCAAACTAGTTTGAATTCGGAGCTCAAAATTGTCATCTCCCGGAATTCCGGGGTTTGGCGGTTGCACCTCCTGACTGGAGCGGTTGCACCGCCTAGTAGAGCTCGAAGACTGAGCCTCTGGGTGATGCCACCTCCTGTCAGGGGCGGTTGCACCTCTTGCCAGAGCTCGAAGATCGAGCTCAGGTGGTGCAACCGCTTGACTGGGGCGGTTCAACCGCCTGCCAGAGCTCGGAGACCGAGCTTAGGCGGTGCCACCTCCTGTCAGGGGCGGTTGCACCTCCTGCCAGAGCTCGAATACTGAGCTCAGGCGGTGCAACCGCTTGACTGAGGTGGTTCAACCGCCTGGCAGAAATCAGGGTCCGAATGGGTTGATCCATTCGGCTCAATTTGGGTCTTTCAGGGGCCCAATTGCCCCAAGATTAAGTTAATGGGAACACCTCCCATTTCTAACTTAATCATTGTACTAACTACAATTATTTCCTAAGACATTTACTGCAACTTGCTCCGGTACGTCAATCGCTTCTTTCGGCGAGCTTCCGGCGAACTTCCGTCGATCATCCGATAAACCCTCGGTGATCCTCCTGTGGACTTCCGGCAAACTCCTGGACTTGCGACGATCCACTTGGCGAGTTCCGACGAGCTTCTTTGGCAAGCTCCTGGACTTCTCGGATTTGTTCCCGCAGAACCTCCGACGACCGTCCGAACTTCCGTCGAACTCTCGAATTCCCAACGTGATCATTGTCTTGACTCCGGCGCAACTCATGTTGCATGTCTTACTTTCATCATAGTTAATTCTGCACAACAAAACAAAACTTCGATCGAGACAATTAATACTAAGCATTAATCACGTTGTTCGGCATGTCATTGGTCTCTCGACGCTTCGTCTGATTCTTCGGCGCATCGTCCTCTCTTGCAGCCTATTGCCCAATCGACCAGTTGTCTCCGCAACTCCGATTTCCTTGGCACAATACCTGCTCTTCTTGGCCCGATGCCCGAGTCCTCAGCCCAAAGCCTTCTGTCGATACGTCGACCGATCCACCGGCCCGACGTCCAATCTTCTGACATGTTCCTCGGGCCCAACATGATTTTCCTGCTTTAATTGTCTCATCCTGATCGAAGCATCTTGCGTCACTCAAAACGCAGATTAAATCATAAACATATATCAAGTGGTTTCATCATTAAAATACGAGATACAACAGGGGATCCTTTTCTACGGGACGTCCCGACGAGCCCTGACGGTCGCTCACATCAACGACCCCGAGAGACCTTGGGCAAGATCCTCGTCATTCGGACCCGAAACAAGTCGCGTCGGCCCCGAGGCCATGACATAAAGTTATTTACACTAACATAGTTCATCGGAAAATCTTGAGCGGCGAAGGGAATTGGAGCTTCTTCAACCAATCTGGGGATGGAGAAGCTTTCGGCAAATCCACAAGCCTTCTCCTGCTGTCTCTCTGTTCCGGTAGTCTTTCCGGGAGCAATGGGATCTGGACATAGTGCTCCCGCCCGGGATCACTTTCACCCATGCTAGAATCTAAAGATCTGCTACCGACAAGAGAGGGATTTACCTCGAGGATATGATCCTCCTCCTGCCTCTTCCTACTCTCACGATGGCAGCGAACGACTATAGCTTTCCCAAAGGAAAGGAGTCGATGTTGATAGGGGTAAAAACAAATAGGGCGCAACATACCGGATTTGACATAACACCGCCCGCTGTCAGCCTCGACCGGACGGCACACTGCCCCAACAGATGAACATTAATGTCAGCATGATGCGCACCCTCGCTAGCCATACCCAGACCACGCACGCCCGGACGAGGCAGGGGATGGCGTCGACCAAGGCTCGCCATACCCTGCGGCGACTCGACTCGACCGTCCACGCAACGCCCACTTCGACAACGGACGGGGTCAGGTGCACGGCCCTGCCCCGGCAAGATGGCGTGTCAGGTAACATCGAACTCACCTATAAGTACCCTCGGGCTTCAAGCGGGCAAGGTAAGCAGACAAGCACGCGATTTTCCCCAAAAACTCCCCTCTACACCACTAACTTGACCGTTGGAGGGGTCGGGCCGAATCACCGACCCGACCTTAGTGCAGGTACTCGGTTGAAGCCGACCCAACCCGGCGACGCGGAGCATCCCAGCCTTATTCCCCGTGATCGGTCGCCCCGAGACCCCGAGTCTTGCAGTCTCTCCTGATCCTAGTTGTTCGGACCCCTGAACCAGCCGCGTTGACCCCCAGGTCACGGCTAAAAAAGTTACTTACGGTAACAGATTGGCGCTAGAAGGAGGGCCTCCGAATGTCAAACGATCAGCAAATCCACTTTGGTGAGCCCCCAGCCGTTGGGCTCCCCACCCCGGGGGAACACCCCCCGCACAATGAAGCCCGCGACGAACGCCCCGCAGCGGCGTCAGAACGTTACTGGCGATTGTTCAATGACCCCGGTTTGTCACCTCCCGACGGCGCCCCCACCGACCCGTCGCCAGTATCTCCAGAGGCCTTTCACGACCTCACTCACCAAGTCTGAGCCCTGACGAGCATGGTGCAGACCATCATCCCGATTATCTCACGGCGAACCCCTCCGCGCGTGGCTCACCCTTCACAGCAACAGGAAACCCTCGTCCGAGCTCACATGCCCCTCTCCGGGCTCCCTGGCTCACCCCAGAACCCGATGGCTCGGCCCGGGAGCCGGGAGGCGGAAGATACGGCAAGCCGCCCCGAGCGCGAGGCTCCGTCCGCCGATTCTACAAATGCCCTACGAGCCCAACTGCACCTCGTCAGTCAAAGACTTGACGAAGTACAACAAGAGGTCCGTAAGTCCAAGGGAGACCACGGAGTGGACAGACAGCAAGGATCCCCGTTCACCCCCGAGATCCAAGATCAGGCGATCCCGTCACACTTCCGCCTGCCCTCGTTGGACGCATATGACGGCGCCGCTGACCCAGCGGACCACGTGGCCACCTTTCGCGCCCAAATGGCGCTATACGGGACCTCCGACGCTTTGATGTGCAGGGCGTTCCCGACAACCCTACGGGGATCGGCCCGCGCGTGGTACAGCGGTCTGAAGGCCGGGACCATCGCCTCCTTCGACCAACTCGCCAGAGACTTCGAGCTCAGTTTCCTGGCTTACGCTCGACCGAAACCATCCATGGCATTACTCCTCGGGCTCAACCAGAGGGAGGACGAGCCCCTCTCCCATTTTGTGAACTGCTTTACGACTCAAATTCGCGGACTATCGGACGCTCACCCCTCTCTACTGATGCAGGCATTCATGACAGGCCTACGGCCTTCCCGGTTCTTCTGGTCTCTCGTGGAGCGACCCCCTGCCGCGGTTCCCGAAATGATTCAGCGTGCTGGCCAGTTCATCGCCGCGGAGACATGGATGGCCGGGAAGCGGGAAGAACACAAAAAAGTCAAGACGGAGCCGCCCGACAGCAGTAGCCCTCCGCCTCCCGTCGCAGGTTGGATAGATCCGACCCGAGGTCTCCTCTCCCCGTCTTGAGTTCTTCGCAGATGGAAATACTTCTCCATGAGAAGGGGAAGGGATTACTCAACGAGCCCCACCCGATGAGGAGCCCGCGAGAGCTCGCGGACCGCTCGAAATACTGTCGTTTCCATCGGCAGCATGGGCACGACACTGAGCAGTGCCGTGAGCTAAAAAGGCAGATCGAGGAGCTCATCCGCCGAGGGCATCTCAGCCACTACCTTCCACCGGTCAAGGAGCCGTCACCTCACCCGGAAGGCCCCGTCGAACGACACATCGACGTGATAGCCGGGGGTCCCACAGTAGGGGGGGCTCCGCGTCGGGCAGAAAGGCGTATGCCCGGGCCGCTCCCGACGAAGCCTCGGGACACGAGCCCGAGCCCGAGATTACCTTCCCGACCGGAGTTGCCGAGCGACCTGACCACGACGACGCCCTGATAATATCGGCCAGGATAGCCAACGCGCGGGTGAGAAGGATCATGGTCGACACGGGAAGCTCGACCGATATACTTTACTTTGACGCCTTCCAGAAGCTCGGCTTAGCCAAGGAAAGCTTACGCCCAATCGGCTCAGCGCTCACCGGGTTCACGGGAGATTCAATATCACCTTTGGGAGCCATCACTTTGCCTTTAACCCTGGGCGTCCCGCCAAGGTCAAAAACGGTGATGACCACCTTTTTGGTGGTCGACCTTCCTACGGCCTACAATGCCATACTGGGACGGTCGACCCTCAATAAAATCAGAGCCATTGTCTCGACCTACTATCAAACCATTAAGTTCCCGACTCACGCTAGGGTCGGAGAAGTCAGCGGAAGCCCCCGAGAGTCCAGGCGGTGCTACCTAACCGCCGTTTCGCTACACAAGAGAACCAGGGTCGAGCCACCGCTGGAGGACCCACGGGAGACAAAAAGACCGGCCCCTCATCCCGAGCCAAAGGGGCCCACCATTGATGTACCATTACAAGAAGCCCGACCTGACCGAACGGTCAAGGTGGGTTCGGAGCTACCCGAACAGGAACAAGAACGGCTCGTCGGACTCCTACGGGAAAACGCC